GGTGGAGTGGGGGGGTGGGATTGGGGGGTTTGTAACAGGTTGTTCAGCTCTGGGACTGGTTTAGAAATTGTCTTTGGGTGGGTATGGGGAAAAAAAAAAATAATCATTCCTGAGGATCCATGCAACTGCAAGGGAGTTGAGGACTGGTGTTTCCAGGGTGCAGAAGAGGGGTGGGAGGAAGCTCATGGGTTTTGGTCTTTGAACCTCCACTTTTAAACAGTCCAATTTGCTGAAAGAGAAATGAACTTCGAATGCCTTTTGGAAAATAAAAATAATGGGGGGGAGGGAAAGGGGTTGAAGTTGCCATGCCACCGATTTCACCTTTGTCAAAAGTTTTGGAGCCTAATTGTTGGGTTTTTTTTTTCCTTCTGTTGCTATATGGAAGAAAAAACAGTCATTGACAAAAAAACTTTATCAGCAAAATGTTTAAATTATGTAATAAACAAAACAAAACAAAAATATGTTATTGGTGTAATTTCAAAACAGCCCCAAGACCAAGTCAGCACAAAAAGCACAAGTAGCTGCACTGCTAGGAGAACCAATGGCCAAACTCATCCAAAACAGGGAGCTAGAGAAAATAAACTAGTAGGCAAGATCCAGCCAAAAGTATTCATTCTTTATTGACCTCCCTTTCATAAAATCCAGCTCATGGAAAAATAAAGTCAGGTCCATAATACTTGTCCCTATGCTGTATAACAGAAGGAAGACATGCCAAAGGCAAGAATACATCTCACTTAAATAAAAGTATAAGGCAGATACATTACTCGGTATATCCTTATCAAGCAAAAGCATGGGTGCTGCTTTATCAAAGAACCAGAGCTAGTGAGTGGTGAGCACGTCCCCCAGTGTCCTCCTCCATCCAGGACCTCTTCTTTCACCACCACGCAGGTCAGGGGACTTCAGCAAAGTTGCCTTCCAGAATCTGCTGGCTCTTTTTTTCCCTGAAATGGCACCTAAAGGAAGGTGGAGTGGTGTCAGAACAGAGTTGGACCCACAGGAAAGCCACAGGTGGGTGAAGGGAGCACTGTAGTCTTCAGCTCCTCCAAGTTCTGCTCAGATGTACTGTGGGAAACCCTGTGAGCAATTGCTTGATTCTCTGAGAAACATCCAGCACCATGTAGGAAGGAGGGAGGGGAAAACAGACAGCACCAAACCAGAGGCAGAGATACATTCAAGACATCATCAATATTTTTAAACGGACCAAATCAGGATGCTAGCACTCCAGCAGGATGGGGTCAGGCTGTCAGACATGAGAGCTTGTCGTTGCAGACCCCTGGAGAAAGCCCCCCTGCCTGTGACAAGTGCTGCAGGGTCCTGGGTGCTTGTGCAGAGGAGACACCAGCTTGCTTTTCCCAGGCTCTGGGACACCCAGGAAGCTGCCTGGTACCAAACTGACCCATCTTGGAAGGAAAGGTTGTGCTTGAATGTGTAAGGGGATAGTAGGGAGACCTGTGCTTGCTCAGGAGGAGCTTTGACAAGAAAGCCATCCCTCAGGGGATTTGGGACTCGAAAAGAAGTGTGGGACAAAGAAAGGCGCCCCTCTCCTCCTGCCTAAAGGGAGCAGGTGGAGCAGGAAAGACTTTCCATTTTGAGCCCCAGCAGTTCTCTCTTTCTCTGCTAACCTGCTAGCCTCGGATCCCCTTCTTCCTCTATCCAGCATATCACCCTGAACTCAAAACCAGCTGGCATCTTTTTTTTTTTCTTTTTAGCAAAACAGTAACCATCTCACTGAGAAGCAGTGCAACTTTATGAAAAGGGTAATAGCAGCCTCTGATGCTGAATCTCCAAGCCACAGCAAAAGCCACGCCTGCACCACTCCCAGTAAGGTGAGGACTGGGAAGGCTGGGAGAAAGCCATGTGAAGCATCACCAATGTCACAGATCGAAACTCATTTCCTCCAGCTGCCACTTCAAGCTGTTTGCTCCTGCCTCCTGAGCTACTGAAGGCAAGGAAGACCCTGTGGAGAACATGAGCAGGTGGTGGTGATGGCAGTGTCAAAAGTAAGGACAGAGGCTCTAGTCCTTCCGTGTGTGCCAGACCAGGAGAGGGGATCCACAAGGGATGGAGAACCTCTCAGCTGTGAACTTCAGGCTGAGCTATGCAAACTCCCAAGGCTGACACCAAGCAACCGCTATCTGTAGCTCAGAAATGTTGTAGGAATGGGATGTTTTGCAGTCAGTAGCACCTTCACGTAACCAGGCATCTCCTTCCTCCTGTGACTGAGGGACGGACCACTCAAAAATCAGGGACTCTCCAGGGCCAGTGTGATGATGCAAACTGCAGCCACCACACTGAACTTGAGGGTAAGGATCAGTTCAACAAAAATACAGCCGGTCCTGCCGGGTTTGGGGAGTGCAGCTGGGCCAGGCTCTCCTGCCTTTGCAGCCTAGCAGGCACTACAGCCTTTCCAGAGCTCGCTCACGGCAATTCAATGGCTTTTGTGTTGTAACAGCCTGGAGGAAGACTCTTCTGTATATCCTCCAGGTTTTTAATATCCACCAGGATCTCATCAATGCTGCTTTCCAGTGTCCGCACCCGGGCCTTCTGCAGCGCAGCTGTTTGCTCCAGCTCTGACATCTCATCCTTCAGCTGGTTGCTTCTGGTTTTGGCTTTGCTAAAATTCATCTCGAGCTGCTTCAGGCCATCCTCGTCCACAGCACCAGGTTGGTCTGTTGCACAGGAGGAAAACAAGGAAGAGGGAACGATTCATGGAGGCTGAGGACTAGATCTTTCTAGAAACTTCATCCTGCTGCCCAGCCTGTTTACAGGCATAGTCTGAGGCAGCTTCCCGCACAACTCCCAGCACCTCCTGCCTAGACCCCAGCAGGGACCTGTCTCCATCCACGCCCCACAGCAGCAACACAAAACTTACTCATCAGACGCAGCAGCTCTTCCAGGGCACTCAATGTCTCCTGCACAACCACTCCTGCCCGGCCAGCCTTGGCGTGGACTGTCTGCGCTTCCTGAGCTGTCTGAAGAAGGCAGTAGCTGTGAAGCCCAGCCTAAAAATCAATGGGGAAGGGCACAAGGCGAGGGAGATGGCAACCCACCTCCTGTATCACAGCAGCATCTGCCTCAACCTCCAAGATCTTCCTTTCAAATTTGCCATCCACTTCCTTGGCCTCACGCTGCAGGGTGGCCACTGCCTTCTCCAGAGCAAGGACGCCATCAGCCGTCTTGTTGGCTTCCACCTTCAGCTGCGCAATCTCCTAGGGAAGACAAAGGCATTTTCAGAGGGGCAGAGCATGGCCAAAACAAGTTTGGGTGCACTGGGACATGGACCTGGTGGAAATTGGTTCCTTCTACAGGGGCGCAAAATTATCACAGGCTGTCCTGCATCCTTCATGTTCTCCCACCAGTCACTCCACAGAGTTGTTTCTATGACCATAGCTCAGTCCCTTCTGTACACATCAGCAAATCCCTGGAGAATTACAACACACATTTGGGAGTCAAACCCACCAACACCAATTCTGGGAGCTCACGAGCCTGCCTCAGACTGTGAAGTGGAAAAATCCCCTTGGTCATCGAGAAGTGGCTACAGTGAGATGCCACAGAGATCCTCATGCTGGCAGAGATACACACACACCCACTTATCTACAGCCAACTGCAGGATCCATTATAGACAAATGTCAGCCCAAAACTCAAGGCATCAGGTCCGAAAGTCCACGCATCAGGTCCACCATGAAGTTGCCAACCATCTCCTCTTCTTCCATGGTTTTCCCTTCCAAAACCTTTTCTGTCAGCAATAGCACCGAAGCCTGTCCTCACCTGCTGGATCCCCATGGTGATCTCCTTTGCTTCCCCTGCTGCGCTGCTGGCAGCCTTGGATTCTGAAGTGGCTTTGCCCAGGATTGCTTCAGCTTGGTCCGTCTTCTCCCTGGCACTTGCAACCATGCTGCTGATAATTGGTAGCTTCCTCATAGCATCTTCGGCTTCCCTTCTCTTGTCATCTGCTTGCAGGTTAAACTCTGAAAGAAACACATGTGGAAATGACACCACGCTATGTTTACGAGATCCCACAAGGGAGAGAAAAGGAAGGATTTCTAGGACGTTACCCCGGAGGCTTTTCAGGATCTGTTCCACCTCATAGAAGGTGGTGTTGCCAGCACTCACGGCTTGCAGGGCTGTGCTCTTGGCAAGGTTGGCACGGGACAGAAGCTGCATCAGTGTCTGCAACAGGCCAAAGGAACACAACAGGCAGATGAGTGACACGGTACATAAGCATCAGATGGTCCCAGAGCTGTCTGCAAGGAGCCACACTGGGGAAGAAGACCCATCAGCCTGTTCCCAAATGCCTGCTCTTGCACCTGATTCAAGGCTACCACAGCCTGATCCGTCAGGAGAGGCTTGTGCCTGTGCTCCTCAGCTAGCTCCAGCCATCCTGAGTCATCTTAGCTCTAACCTTTCCAGGAGCAGGTCTTCAACCTGCCTCATATGGAGGAGATGTGCAAGTGAGACCCTGCACATGGTGAGGTCTCCCACTGGTCCCAGAAAACCAACCGTAAATGGCTGTTTCTGAGGAAGGGTACTATCCTGCACCAGGTGGGCAAAGCTACATCCCCTTTGGTGAACAACCTAGGGCAGGACGTAGCAGCAGTGGTGCCACAAGCATCCCACCAAGGCTCCAGCTCACACTGAAGAGGACTCAAGCCACAGCCCCCTGTCAACATCTTACCGCTCTCTCTCCCTCTCCCCTTTGCAGCAGCTTCTTGATTTCTTCCTCCCAGCGCCCCGTGTGGCTCTGCAGCTGTCTGTACTGTGCCATGTAGGTGTCCACCAGGCTCAGGAGAGCACTGGCATCCTGTTTCAGCCGGGTTGCCTCCCCCTGGAACACAGAGATGCAATGACTGCCTGGGGGTCCCAGCATCTCCTTGGTGCTCACAGGGAACCACAGCAAGCAGCGATGGATGCTTGTCTTGCTGTTTGTGTCATGGCCAGCTATAGGGGCAAAAGTGTGGGAAGATGCATATCCAATGGCTCTCTAAGTGGGACAGAGCCCTGGGAAGGGCTGAGTTGCTGGCAGGGTAGCAGGGAGGGAGTAGGGGAGAACAAAAGGGGAATCTCATGGTCCCACAGGCACAAAGCTTTCACCTCAAAGGACTCGATGTCAGTCTTCATCAGGCGGGACAGGGAGTTGAGGAGAACCAGGCTGCCCTGATAAGCCTTGTCTGCCTTGGAGGACATGCCATCAGCCTCAGTCTCCAAGCTTCCAGCCAGTGACTTCAGTTCCTTATATCTGCACAGATATGAGGTTGAAGGGCACAGTACCAGCCAAGCTGCCAGCCTCCCACCACAGCATTAATGCTGCCTCCTACATTGACTTGTTCATGCTTTCCAAGGCCCCATGTGTATTTAGTATGCAGGGAAAGCTAACTGCTAACATCCCCCACATCCCAGCCTCTCTGCCAAGTGGGGTGTCCACTTGTTCCTTGTTCCCACTCCAGAAACCAAAGGTGTTTCACACCAGTTGAACCCTCGCAGGCTCCATAGTGGCTCTGCTAATCCCTGCCCTACCACTGGATGTTTCCTCCTGCACATCCTTGATCTTCGTTTGAGGCTGTTGTTTGCACGCCACCAGTGGTGTGCAAAATCCCAGCCAGTGGTGGGCTCTGGAGAGGCACCAGCCCCATCAAGAGAGCTACCCAGACAACATGGGGCTAAATCTGCCCTTGGGCTAAACCTAGCCCAGATTTGCAGCCACATGTGGAAGTTGCACCCAGGAATCTCTTCACACACATGGCATTAAATGCCTTCCCCCAGCTGCAGACAGGCCCCTGGGAGCCTCATTGTCTGTCGGGTGGGAAACAGATGCTCCACAGAGCTGCCAAACCTCCATCTCCACTGCTCAGACATGCCAGCAACTAAAGTCCAGGCAAGTCCCTGCCTGCCCTGCCTTCAACCACATGTTTCTGCAACTCAGTTGGGGAGGCAGGGAAGGGGGCATGGCCACCCCCCTCCTCCCTCCCATGTACCCCACACAGGTGAACGCAGCCTCCACTCACTTCCTGATCAGCCCGAGCAGGGAGCCAGAGGCAGCGGCCCCTCCGCCCCCGCCCGCA